TAATGGTTTTGTGTGCAAAAGCATCTCAAGAGGAACAGTAACAGCCCTGCAGGGCCCCAGCGTGCATCTGAGGTGCTCTGAGCTCTTGGCACAACACCTCTGCGTGTGCAATGTGCTTTTGGGTGTGCAAAGCTTTTGGGGCATGCATGCCACCTCTGCATGTGCACGGTGGATTGGGGTGTGCAAAGAGCTTTGGATGTGTACAACACCCACGGGTGTGCACTGAGTGTGCAAAGTGCATTAGGTGCACGAGATGCATGAAGGTGTGCAGTGTGTTGGATGTGCACAGCACCTGCAGGTGTGCACAGTGTATTGGAGTGTGCAAAGTGCATTAGTCGTACAAGGCTTTTTGGGGTGTGCAAAGCATGTGCTTTGGGTGTGCACGGTACCTGCAGGTGTGCATGGTGCGTTGGGGTGTGCAGAGTGCATGAGGTGAGCACAACACCTCTGAGTGTGCACAGTTGTGCATGCCTCAGTGGCTGTGCAAGACATCTCTGGGCATGCAGAGTGCTTTAGGTGTACAAACACCTCTGTGTGTGCAAAGTGCTTGGAGTGTGCACCAACACCTCCGGGTGTGTAAAGAATTTTGTGCGTACAAAATGCACTGGGATACACAAAGTGCTTTGGGTGAATTTGACATCTCCAGGGGAGCAGAAGTACTTAGCAGAGTTCACAATGCATTGGGGTGAGAAAATGCTTTGGTTGAGTACGACACCTCTGGGTGTGCATTGCTGCCACACTTGCACAGTGCACACACGTGTGTAGCAGCTCCAGGCGTGCTGTTGGGGTGGGCTGCATCACCAGGATGGGGATTCAGTGCCCTGTGCTGCTCCTGCTGCTGCTGCTTGTCCTCCTTTCTGCCTCCTCCCTCCTGGTGGGATGGTGCTGCTCCATGCCCACAGCTTCCAGGTGCTAAATGATGCGGCTGCTCCATGACAGAGCTGCTGGTGAAGCAGCTGCAGGGTGCAGACACATATGAACCCCCGCTGTGCTGTGCCCAGTGCTGGTGCTCCCGATGCTCCTCTGCTGCTTTTGGCTCTGCCAAAATCCCTCTGGGTTCAGTGGCATCGCTCCCATGCAGGAATAGGAATGGTGAAAACAGGTGAAATGCAACAGGCTTCGAGCAAACGGCACAGGGTGAGCAGAGCTGTGCATGGCTGAGGGATCCCAAACTCCGTACCCTGAGGGCACCCACTGGAAAAGCCCCAGCAAAGCCAAGGAGACACGGAGCAGAGCTCCTGATGCCTCTGCTCTGTGCCCAAGGGCTGCATGGCTCAACGGCTTCTTTGCTTTGAGCAAAACATCAACATGCAGAAATCCTCTAAGCGGGCAGAGCCGGGTTGTTCCCAACCCACCTGCGGCCGCTCCTCTGCTCCATCACCTCCAATTACTCCGCACAGCGCAGTCGGATCCCATGCGATTCGCTTGGAAAATGCTGCAAGCTCCGGGGTCAATGGAACCACAGCTCAACAGAGTAACTGTGGGGGCAGCCAGGCCTGGCGGTGCTGCTGGGGGGGGAGGACAACCGCCGGAGGTGCAACACAGCATGGAGATCATAGCGACACGCAAACGGTTTCAAGCGCTGATGAGTTATTTAGGAGCCTGCTTTTAGGAGCCATTTATGTGCGTCGCTCGCGTGTTTTACACCATTTGTAAACGCGGTGCTCTGCAGGGCTCATCCGTCAGGTCCCCAGGTTGGTTTTGCAGAGTGAATGGAGCCGTGTGGTTTTTGTTTAGGAACTCCGGGCGCTCTCGGCTGTGTCAGAGATGCTCCACACTCTGTGGTTATCCGTGGGCACTTTGCTGTGGGCACACTGAGCTCACTGCTGGGCTCTGGGCTCACGATGCCGGTGTCCATCAGTGGGTGCTGGGGGGCTCAGAGGGGCTGGAGGGACAGCAAAGTGTTCCTGATCCGTTCTCCGTTACAGCAACTCCAGAGATGGGAGGAAGAAAAGGAGGAGTGTGGTGTGGGTTCACACCAGAGCCTTCCTGCTCCCTCCCTTCTCATCCTCCCTGAGCTCTTTGCTTCCAGGGCAGAAGACACACGAGGCAGTGCCATGATCCCTGCATCAGACTCAATTCTCTCCAGTGCCAGCTCAGCCCTGGAGCCTGATGGGAGTGTTCCAGAGGTCTCAACCCTCTGCAGTGATCCACGGTGCCCCCATGTGCTGCCCAGAGGCTGCTGAGCCCCAAAGCACAACGGGGATGGGGACATGTGGACATGGCTCTCCCTCAGGACGGGCTGCAGAGATGCAAGAAGGAAAACTGCAAACGTATCATGATGGACATGGCAGCATCATCTCAGCAGCACTGTGCCCAAAAGGGACTTTGCAGAGCCAAGCACACAGCACTGCCCCCAGCTTTAAGAGTGGCTTGCATGGCACAGCCCCACTTCCCATCCCAAATCCCAGGGTGCAGAGGATGTTTCTCCTCCTTTTCCTTGGGATGCAAAGAAAATTAATGGGCTCTGGAGCCCCGCTTAGAGATGGGACTCCTGGGCCTTTCTCTTGCTGGGTGAGGAGCGGATCCATGGGGTGTGAGTGAGGTTCCTAGGGCTGTGGTGTGGGAAGAGAGTGGAAATGCAAGCAAGGATCCAATGGGGCCACACAGGGGAGTTCCAACTTACAAGTTATGGGGCAGCAGGCAAGAAACTGATTTCTGCTGCTAGTGAGTACAGCTCCAGAATAGAGGCAGTGGGGAGGGAGAATCCCCTGTTCCCATAAAGGAGCCCTTGGAGCACCAAATAGGGATGATAAAGCATCACATGGGCACATGAAGCATCACATAAGGAACAATGTGTTGGCTATGGGCACAGCCCTGGTGATGAGGATGCCCTCACCCCATGTTCCACAGGACTAGGGTACACGGGAGAACAGGATTTGCTCCACACTTTATGGCTGCCCACAGGCTATGCTGGGATTTTGGAGCTGGGGGAGGAGGTGGTTGCAGCTCCCCACACATCCCCGGCCCAGAATACTGTAGGGGGTTGGAGCTTCATGGACCACAGGCACCCACCTGGTGCTGGAGAGGCTGTGAAGAGCCAGGGGAGGGATTGGTGCCCCCATGCTACATCCCCAGATCTCTTTAAAGGCTTTGGTGCTCTAAACAGGACCAAAGTTAGATGGTTGCAAAAGTGATGGGGGCAGAAGGGACCAATCTCCGTCCCCACCTGTACACAGGCAGCTTCCTTCCAGCACATGCAGCCTGGGCAGCCCTAAAATCCCCCTGACAGTGCTCCTGGATACAGCATCTCCTCTGTATCAGTCAGAGGAGGGGGCAGCGCTGTCTGTGATAGTGTCTGCCAAGGCATCCCTCCTGCCTGGACTGTGTTAGGGGCCCCAGAACGCAGAGGGGAGCACAGGGCAGTGGGACCAGTAGTGAGGCAATGCAGGCTGGGGGATGTGGTGCATCATGTAGGGATGTGGAGCATCAAGGAGGGACATGGAGCATCACATTGAAACGTGGAGCATCACAAAGGGACATGGATCATTGCCTGGGGACACAGAGCATTGCACAGAGGTGATAGAACATTATACGGGCACATGGAGCATCACACAGGGACAATGAACATTGCGTAGGGGTGATGGAGCAACACATAGAGATGTGGAGCATTGCATAAGGACATGGAGCATCACACGGGTAATGGAACATTACATGGGGACAATGGGACATCACATGGGGACGTGGAACGTGATGTAGGGATGCAGAGCATTGCTCAGGGATGGTCCCACTGCTGCCCTGGCACCCATTGGTTGCAGTTAGTGCCATTGGACCCAGAGCAGCACAGAGGAGCTCAGCATGGACAGACGCAGGAGGGAGTGGTGAAGAGGAAGGAATGAACCTTTGGGTCAAACCAAAAACTGCTGCCAAACTCACAAAGGGACAGGGCCAAGGTTTCCCAAACAACACCATCCCCATCCCCAGCACACACAGCTCTGCCGGCGCACGACTGCAAGGGGAATCCAGCGAGCAACATAAATACAGCACTGAGCCAGCTTTTTCTAATCAAATCCATTAAATCATCCAAACCTGCTTGCAAAGAATAATCCAGGCAGTAATAATAAACCAGCTGCACGTCTATTTTGCTTCTCCCGCTTCGAGCAGAGGGGGAAGGAGGGTGCTTAGATCCTAACGGCGGATGTAAAGACACAGCGGGAGGGTCCCTGAGGATGCTCTGGTGCAGAAAACACTGGGGAGCACCAAGCATCAAAGCTGGTGGTGGCACACGTGGGCTGGGACCTGACCTGCTGAGCAGGATCCAGCCCCCTCGTCTCCATTTAACAACCAAACAACAGAGGAGCTCTCTATCCCAAGAGCATGCCAAGGGAATTTAGTGCTGGAGATTAAAATCCCTCATATAGCACTGGGATGTGTGCAGCAGCCCTGGGGACACCCAGCCGGTGCCTGGGCACGTGCTGCAGCTTTGTCGTGGGAGGTGAGCAAGATGTCCCCAAGGCCACAATGGGGACAGGGATGGGGACCCCAGAGCTGTGTGCTCTACACCAGAGCCAAACAGACAAGGCAGCTGATGGGGAGAGGCAGCCATGGGGCACAAAGGCGTTATTGTGCACTGGAGCCACGCGTCAGTGTGAAATGCAGCCTCTGTGCTGCACTGCTGGGACCCGCTGTCCCCAAGGGCTCACAGGGCTTCCCCTGCTCCCCGCTGGCCATCGCCAGGCCTCTCCCTGCTGTGCCACCAACACATGCGAAGAAATCACCAGCTTCCAGATAGCCACAGTGAGAGGCATCCATCCATCCCTCCATCCATCCCTCCATCCATCACTCCGTGTGCATTGGTTTCCAGCTCAAATATCCAAATATCAAATATCCAGCCCAGCACGCACAACCCTGCTAAGCCCCAGCAGCAGCCCCTGGAACCCCCTCAGCAATGCTGCTGCCCCTTCTTTGGGATCCAAAAGGAGGGAGGAATGGTGGTAGGCAGACCAACGCCCTCCTTGCATGGAATTCACAGCCTGGGAGGGGGCTGTGGGGGCACTCACCACTTTGAAGTCTTCGGGGCTGCACTGCTCCCCGCGGAAGAAGCACGAGAGCAGCATCTCCCGGATGTCGTGGCCGGCACGGTCATAAAACTCCAACATATTGAAAGGTTTGGGCTTGAAGTTTCGGAAGTTTGCCTTATCCTGCAGGATTTCCAGCTGCTTCTCATCAGCTGTCTGCGTGTCTGGGATCTCGTACCTTAGGGGAAAGAGCAGGCAGAGGCTTAGGCCTGGCTGTGGTGGCTTCACATGAGCTGCTCTTATCCCAACCCAAGGGGCAAAAGCACATGGCATCTTTAGGGCTCTCAGCAACACAGCTTGGATGGGCAAAGAGGTGTCCCATGCATTCAGCCATCAGCATCTTCTTAAAGGGTCACCACAGCCCCTTTGACAGCACCAAACCCAGACCAACTGCTCCACAATCAGACCTGCAGATGTCCCAGCTCAGGGCAGCCTGGCACATGCCCTGTGTACCGAAATATGCACAGGCAGAGACTGCTGCTTGGCCAGGAACATGAGGGTGGCTCGGCAGCACCAAAGAGCTGCTACAGGCATGGAGATGGGCTGGGTAGGGTGGGTGAGGGGTGTCACTCTGGATACAGCACCATGGGGTCCTGCACCCCAAGGGATGGCTGCAGTGTAATGGTAGCATGCAGGAGCTTCACCTGCTGGCCTTACAGCACGGAGCTGTGTTCTGAGGCTGGAATCACATGTGCTGGGTCCAAGCACAGGGACTGGAACCACGTGTGCTGGGATCCATGCACTGGGGCTAGAACAGGGTGTGCTGAGATACATGCACTGGGGCTGGAACAGGGTGTTCTGGACCCCCAGGGACAACTCCATGCCCAGGAGCAGGTGCAGGACCTGGGGAACACCCTCCATGTAGGGCTGTGCATGCTTGCACCCAGGTGCAAAGCCGAGCTGCCTCAGGATGCACTTCCTTGCAGAGATGAAGGCATCGCACAGCAGTGCAGCAGGGCACATGGTGACATGCTGAGCTGGGGACAGAGGTGTCAGCAGGGGCCACTTCAGGACACCCACCTGTTATTGAGCAGGGCGAGGAGCTCACCGGCGTGGTACAGGTCGTTCTTGGTCACCCGGCTGAAGCGGAATTCATTGAGGTTACAGAAGGTGACAGCGGGGAAGGTGAGCCTGGTGGCAGCCACCTCATCCAGCTTGGTGACATGAGGGTAGAGGAAGTAGTACTGGATGCGGTTGGTGCAGACGAGGGCGAGCAGCGCCAGTGAACCCATGAAGCAGAGCGCCCAGACCACGCGCTTCAGCGACAGCCGCTCGTAGGAAAAGATGTGTGAGATCCCGTGCAGGGTGGAGCTGCTGGCGAAGGCCTGGATGCTCACCGGCTGCCCGCTGTCCACCTCCTCCTCGTCCACCTTCAGGTCCATCATGGTCCGCGCCGGCAACCCGGGGGGGCCACTCTGTGGGGAAAGGGACCCCTGGGTGCCCAGTGCCACCTCCTGGGGGTCACCGCTGCCTGATGCGTTCCGGTGAGGGAATGCTGGGGTGCACCTCTGAGCACTGCCATCCCCACTGCTGGGGGTGCACTCTGGCATGGGGCAGCGCTTTGCTGTGCCCCTCTCTCCCCCCGCACCCTCTCTATTCTATCTCTGCATTTATTAGAGTGCAGCATCTTGCATCTCCCCCTCTTCCACCTCCTCATTGCCCTCCCCATCCAACAGCACGACTGAGGTGTTGTGTCCCCCCGGCACCCCCGCAGCACGCATCCCCTCCGCCTCCCCCCCAATGGCACCAACGCATCGACAAAGAGACGAAGGAGGGGAGGATGCAAACCTGGAGTCAGGGCCGCTGCGACGCGGGTGCCGGGGATGGGGCCGACCTCCCTCCGCCGGGGTGGGAAGACGAAGCCGGGAGTGGGGATGGAGGGTGTGAGCGGCACCGAGCCCGGCAGCGGCGGGCGAACCGGAAAAGAAAAGGAGGGGGGGGGGGGGGGGAATAAAAATAGCCTCGGCGGTACCTTTGGTGCAAGCGTGGGAGCGGGGATGCGTCGGGGCCTCGCTCAGCGCCGCGCAGGGGGACCGGAGGCGACCATTGCCGGAGAGAAGGCGACCGATGGGTGCGAGGAGAGGAGCGGGAGGTGAGCGGGAGGCTGCTGCCCTGCCAACCACATGGAGCGATGGATGGAGGGATGGAGGAATGGATGGATGGATGGATGGATGGATGCCTCCCCCTGTGGCTATCTGGGAGCTGGTGATTTCTTCAGATGCATAATCCGCATGAAGTCATTGTCTGTGCGCTGGTGGGGCCGGAGGCCGCCGAGGGGTGCCGCAGGCCGGTGGGCAGCGAGGAGGAGAAGGAGGAGGAGGAGGAGGAGAAGGAGGAGGAGGGAGAGGCGGAGGAGCCGGGAGCTCCAGTGATTGCAGGCTGCTGGCAGGGGCTGTTGGTGCTGCTGCCGTGTGCGTGTGGGGATGTGTGTGTGCGCGTGCATGCGTGTGCCGCTCCCATCCCCCAGCGCCTCGCAGCAGGGCTGCAGCTCCCCGCACCCCCCCGGTTCCCCCTGCGCCCCCCACACCGCCCTGACCCTGCTCTGCTCGGGCCGCGGCCTCTGCTGCCCTCTGGGTTTCACCCGCGGGCAGCCCGATCCCACCTCATGGCTCCGTCTGCTTTGGAGCAGCAGTGTGGCACTCACTTTTGGACACGACCCCGGCATGATGCTCGCTGCAGTGGGGAGCTGACCCTGCAGGCTGCTGTCCCTTCCCCTCTCGTGGCTGTGCACCTTTGGCTGTTTCTGAAGCTGTCAGAATGGTGCTGTTGTCCCCTGGGTGCTTCCCTGCAGGGTGCTGGGTGTTCTCCTCCTCCCCAGATCAGCGCAGGAGGGCTCAGGATTCTCCCAGCACTGCAGCATCCCTGAGCCCCTTCCCCTCTTTCTCCCCACCATGAAGCTGGGGGACCCGCATTCAGCCCCAGGCATGCAGCAAGCACCAGTCTGCTGTGCCCAGGAAGGTGGCTGCAGTCAGATGGAAGAGAACACTTCAGTGTTCCAGTGTGATGTTGGGAGGATAGCCTGGGCCAAAAGTGTCACCTGGCCCAAAGGTGCCTCCCCAGCACATCCTCACTGTCTGCCCTGTGCCTCATGGGAATGCAGAGAATTCAGGGTACAGCGAGGTCAGGCACATGCACCCTGTCCCCAGATCTCATGTCTTGGACATGCTTGGTTTGATCCTACTCTGGAACACATTGTCCCAGTCTTGGACCTCACCCTTCCCTTGCCGGAGCAGAAATCTGCTGCTTTGCTGTGGGTCCCTATAGGGACATCACCCCTACAGGGACAGAAATGGGTTGAGTCTGTGCCCCCCTTGCTTGCCCTGTTAGCGAGCTATGAGGCCAACACCTCCTCCTGACAGCCTCCTCTCCACTGGGGCTGCCAGTGGAAACCCAGTGAAGGATGAGCTCCTTGTCTAAGGGATCAGAACCTTTACAAAGGGGTTGTTTCTCCCACACCCTGTTTTTTTTTTCCAGATGACAGCTCATTCTCTGCAGTGGTTTTATTGACAGTAAATGCACCGGCAGTAGCAGCGATGGGGTTTCAGGTTGGAGCAGGCGCACCACACGTAGATGCTCTTGCAAACCTTTGCTTTCCACCATGTCAGAAACCCCAGCAAAGCTGCTCTGCACCTCCAAATGGAAATTGCATTTCCTGGGGGGGCTGACGGGGCCCCCAAATGTTCCAGGTCCACCTCCTGCAGGAGCTGGGGAGGAGGTGAACAGCAGGAGGAAACTTCCTCACCGCTGGCCCCCAGCCAGGAAGGATGCAGCTGCATCCTTGGAGAGGAGTGGAGCGTGGGGAGCACGAGCATTTCCGCGTTATTTTTTGGGAGAGCCACGTGACGACTGAGTTGGTTTCTTGCTGAGAGAGGCAGGGAGGCCGACCCAGGGCTGTGGGACTGGTGAGGAGTTAACGATTAGCCCCAGGCGTTAATTGATAGCAGCAAGACAGCAGGCACGAAGGCTTGAAGGAGGTCGGGTCTGGGAGCTGAGCACAGTGGGCGTGAAAGGGGAAAGCTGCTGTGGCTGCATCCTTTTGTAGGGGCTGCTCAGCTCTTGTGGATTCTGAGCTCCCCTCGGCTGGCTGTGCGTCAGCTGTGCTCACTGATCTAATTAGCAGGAAAAATGTAATCAAGGGAAGGTGCTGCACTGCTGAGCCTCCCAGCGCAGCCTCCAGCAGGGGTGTCTGGAGTACACTTTGTGAACTGGGGCTGAGGGCTGGCTCCAACCTCGTAGGTTTTTTTCCACTTCCAAGCAATGCTTGTCTCCATTCCACCATGCAGATCTTTGTTACGGAAACAAACTTCCATTCTGTTTCTTGGAAGAGCATCCCCAGGGCAAAATCACTCCCAGGGCAAAGCTGGGTAAGCGATGCTCTCCCTCCCTATAGGGCCGGGCTGCTCCCTTCTATTGCTCCCTTGGATCAGGCAAATTGCTTCTTTATCTACACCTGCCACCCAGCTGTGCCATGGGAGGCAATTTAATTCCTAGCAGTCTATTAAACACCACGTGAGCTGGAGAAGCTGGATGCTGCTGCTTGCTTTCCTGGGGTGGAAACACCCTTGGGGTGACTAGCCCTTCAATCTCCATGTATTTAAAGTGGGAGTTTGATTTAAAATATGGCTTGCCATGGAGACCTTGCTCCAAGGCATTGGAGGCAGCACTGTGGCGTTGACTGCTCTGCAGTGAGATGGTGCCATTGCTTGCTCCATGCTCTGCCACTGCTCCAAGCCTTGGGGTTGTTCCATCTGCATGGGGATGGGCACCACTTCTCCCCATCCCCATTGGGTTGGCATTGCTTTGTTCCACCTTTGAACCACTAGCAGCATCTGTGCCTGCACAGAGGTCTTGGTGGAGCTCCAGGGCTTCCTAATTGCTGAGCACACTGTTAATTATCTACCGAAAGGCAAAGCTTCAGAGGGACTAACAAGGATGCGAACAGAGCTGCTCCTTGTTGACCTCTGGTGTTGCCATCATGGCTTGGGCAGATAGCAGCAGGGATAAACCTCACATTTCTTCTCTTGGCACTCAATTGCTCCTGTTATTTCAACCATACCTGCCCATTTCAGAGACCTTTCCATCGGAAATACCCACATCTAAATCCTCAGAAATGAGGCCCAAGCATGCACTGTTCAGTGATGCTGAGGGATGCCTGAATTCAGCACGTCCCCATTGCGTGAGCAGCACAGCTGAAAAGGGTCGGGGTGCACACCTGGAGCTGCTGCTCGCAGAGCTGTGCTGGGGTTACCCTGAGGAAGATGCAATCCCTGCAGGCAGCTCCCAGCTCGGGTCATTCACCCCTGTGCAGTGTTGATTTATGCCATGCCGTGCTCCTGCTCGCACCCGCTTGGCTCTCCCGGCGCGAGGAGCAGCCAGTCCATTAAACACTGAGTCATCCTCAGCGGCATTTAATTCGGTGAGGGGCAGCAGTTTGGATAATTAAAGGCCTCCGTGGCCAAAGCTGGCAGCAGGGCTGGAGGGGAAAGCGAGGACACCCGGCAGTATTGGTGAATGGTGGCAGCTCCCCTGCGCTCCCTCCTCTCTCCTGCTTGGATTTAAGGGTGGATTTTAACCCTGTCCTCCCCCCAGGTGAGGACTTCCTCAGCCCGGCTCTGTGCTATTTCTGCCTGGATTAACTACGTCCTGATGGGATCTCCCATAGGCAGAGCTGCTATCTGGAGGCCTTGGCTTATTAAAAGGACAAGCTGTTCGGGGAGCCGGTAATAAAGCCATGAAAGCTTTTACGTACCAGAGTTGAAGGCACTAATATCGCTGTGCTCTGCGTGGGTGAGAAATTAGACAAGAGTTCCTCCATGCTGATGGGTTTTTTTTTTCCCCTCCCCCCTATTCATCTTTCTCAACAATTATCTTTTATTTTGATATCTTCCTATTTAAACCTTCAGCACCGCACTTGGGATAAGGAGGCTGAGTCGCTTAACAACCAGCACAGGGACCTGGAGGTGCTTGGGGCTGTGCCTGGGACTGTGGGATCTGACCCCAAAGGGTAGAGTATAACTCCCCAGGGCCATCTTCTGCACGTGAAGCCTTTGCTGGCAACCTTGGGACAAGCCATGCACCTGCATCTGTATTGCACCTGCATTACATACCTGGGGTATGTCAAAAATCACATTTGGGATTCCCCCTTCATTTTGCTGCTCATCGCCCTCAGATCCGGGTGCCCTTTGCCTGCTCTGGCTTTGCTGTGTTTGTCTTCTGATCCCTTCAAGGCTCTCACTGCTTTTCTGCCATTCTGGATATCTTGTGATCGATCAGCTGCAGCTTTCCAGAGCTGTGGCTGACACGTTGCAGGCTGGAAGAGGATGGAAACGCTGTGCAAAGTTGCTGAGCTGAACGTGCAGCCTCATTCACCTGAACAATTAGTGTGAGGTGATGCAAAACCACTGTGCAAGGACCGTCCTGGAACGCTTTCCCTGTGCATCATCTCCCCCTTGGCTACCTCCTATCATCCTCACTTGTTTTATTCTATGTTCAGAGAGGCCTCTTCCTCTGGGATATGCACAGTATGGGGGCTGTTCCCCTGGACCAGAGGCTCTGAACATGCTCAGAATGGATCCGCATCTGGAAACATGAGACCGAGGCCCATTGATCTCATTTTGTATGGTTCCGTGTTGAACAGGGGATGTGTGGTTGCCTGCAGTCTTGCAGCACTGCTTGAGGCCATCCCTCCTGGCTCCTCACCCTCTTTGTTGCTATGATTTCCTCATCAAAAGCTGTTCTGGAGCAACACAAGTAGGAACACCCTATGCTGTCAGCAGCCATGCCATAACTCCTGTGGATGTGCTCAGGACATCACTGCAGCCCCAGACCACAAGTGGGTACCAGCAGTAGCTGTGTGTGTGCATAGAGGTGAAACATGGGGTGTGTGTAGGATAGTGGGACCCCCCCAGCTCCCCCCTGGCTGCAGACCCAGCCTGCTCCCCCCAGTGCTGCCCTGCTTTTCCAATACCGCTTGTCCACAGCTTTGCTAGTGGCTCTTTGTCCCTGTGCCCTTGT